TTTGTACGATATTGCTTCAAATATAGATACAGGGCACTATGATAGGTCTGTCCCAAAACGCCTACTCACTCAAAAGCCTAGTTTTTAACAAAGGTCTTGGTTAATTTTATAGATAAATTTGTTAATTATTAGAAACCTATTAGACCTTTAGTACAGTATAAGTGCAATCTTGTTTCTTAGTAAAAATTGGACTAGTTTACGTTAAGATGGTATTGTACTGAATAATGCAATTTGCTATGATTATATTTAAAATATAAAATGAAATTTTTCAATATAATTATATTTTTATAAATATAAAAAATATATAATAAACTTTAAGTAAAAAGTTTTAATAGATTTTATTTATTGTTACATTTAAGTTATAAATTTGTTGGGCACGACTATCCCATTATTATACTTAAAAACTATATAATGATAATTTTGCTATAATAGTTAAAATAAACAAATAGTGGAAAATTTAATGTTATTTTAATTTAATTAATTTTAAACAGTATTGTATTATAAATTTTAATATTTTGTTTTCCCCAACACCTGTTATAAAATATTAAATTATATTTAGAACTCGAACAATTTTATTATTTATGTTACCGAGTGCATTTTAAAAAGGCTACTAGATCAAACGTGTTTATCAAATTAATTATGTAGTAAAGAATTTAATTAATTAAAAATAATGGTTAATTAAAACAAAAAATGTTTTAAAATAATAAATTAAAAAGATTTTAAACCATTTTTGTTTTTACCACAAATTTTTTTTAATTTTCAAACTCATGGACTAAAAACAATATAAAATAAGCAAATTTATTAATAATTTATTTTATAATAATAATTTGTTTTTTATGTAATTAATTATTTAATTTTATTTTTAATACTTGAGTGATAAACTATTTATTTTTTATCATGTCATATACTATTAAAATATTAATTACATCGTGGTCACTATTGTTTTCAAGCATAAACTGTGAACCCTCAGAGTTTTTTAACGTTGTGCTAGATGACCAGAATACAGCATCCTTAAATCCACCAAGGACAGATATTGGCGATATTCAGGGTTTTAAATACCCCTTTGCATTCGCGCAGGTCGGCCACTATTCTGGTGGTTGGACTCGACAGGTAGGCTAAACACATTACTTTACCCTGCCTGAAAAATAACTAGAAACTTTTTTATTTTAATTAAAAACTATTTAATAACCACACAAAAACTGTAAATTAAGCGTATCATTGACTATAAGATATCCCTTTGCAGGGTAATTAAATTAATGATTTATGCCCGTGTTGTATCTAATTATTTTACAATTACATTAACTCTAAAATTAAGTGTATTATTTTATCATGAAATTATTTAATAAAGAAAATTTACTTTTGTACGAAATATAATTATTTGACCTCAATTATCTAAATATATGAATTAAGATAAAATTGATCACAAAATATGGTCACTCTATCCGATAGGTTAATGTAAAAGATTTTCCGATCGCCACCGAAGTGGCCGGTGTCCAGATGAGACTTGTGAGGGGTGGGGTACGGGAGTTGCATTGGCACCCGGCGACCGAGTGGGCGTATGTCATGTCAGGCACCTGTCGTATAACTGCTATCGATGAGGGGGGAAAGGCGTTTGTCGAGGATGTCAGTGAATCGGACTTATGGCTATTCCCATCTGGTAGGCCTCACTCTATTCAAGGTAAGATTAAAAATCTTATACATTGTTACCTTACCAATGAATAAATCTTTATATGTGTTGAATTGAATTTACATCACTATTAATTTAAATAATAAAACAAGTTTATAAAAATAAGTTTTACATGTTTATCTAAATTGCGACAAAGGCACTAACATTATATTAATAATAATTATTATCAAGGTCTCGGTGATGATGGTTGTTTTTTCCTACTGGTGTTTAACGATGCTAATTTTAGTGAGTCAGCTACATTTTTACTAACTGATTGGATGAGTCACGTACCGCTCGAGGTGCTAGCTAAAAACTTTCAGGTCCCGAAATCGACATTCGCAAATTTACCCCAACACGAGCTTTACATGTTTGCTACTGAATTACCCCGACCATTGGAGGTTGACCAGCGTCAGGCTGCCCTAGCCACCGGGTTTATACCCGAATCATATGCGTTTTTCGCATCCCAAATGGAGCCTAATTATACCCGATTAGGTGGTGAGGTTAAGATTATAGATAAGCGCAACTTTCCGGTTACCAAAATAGCGGCCAGTATTGTGACCCTAAAACCTGGTGGACTCCGGGAACTCCATTGGCACCCGAATGCCGATGAGTGGACCTATTTTGTAACAGGTACTATTACATTAGTTTTTAATAGTGATAGATTATATTAAGTAATTGTAAAGATTTTAATTTTATGATTTTTAAAAATTTTCTAGATGTCTAATATAAGCTGGAAATTAATTATACAGTGCTAATAGTTATTAAAACAAAATTATCATATTAATTATACCCAGGTAAAGCACGAGTGGGTGTGTTCCAGGCGTCCCAATACCCGGCTGCTGCCAGAACTATGGACTTTCAAGAGGGGGACATTGGGTACATCAAGAAAGATAACCCGCATTACATCGAGAATACGGCTGATGTGGACCTCGTATTTCTAGAGGTGTTCGCCGCCGACTATTTCGAGGACATATCACTGGCCGAATGGTTAGCCCACACGCCCACCCGATTGGTTAACGAACATATCCATACCGGAGATGCCTTTATTAATTCAATTTATAAGTACGAGGCTGTCATACGACCTTTGTGATTTTTAGAACGTTACCAGATTAGCATAATAAACTTATAATATTTATTGAGTAATTTGTAATTATGCTCATTACTTTGTTGTATTATTATTATTACATTATTTTTAAAAAAAATATTAAATTAATTTAGAAATATTGAAACCAAAGGATTTTTAGTATTTGTTTTAGAAATTATAATGTTTTTAAAATATAAATACTACTATAATTGGGTGACAGTATGCTATAGTGAATTAAGTATCACAAAATGTAAACTGTAATCAATGCACAAATCATATAATAGATTATCCAATTATGAATAAAAATAATACTTTTATTTAATTTTATATTATAAATATTTATTTAACATTAACATTGAATTAAAAATATGATTATTTAATAAATTAAAATATAAAATAGTAAAATAAATCCGCTATTTAAGTTTTATTTAACTACCAGCAACAATTTACATTCAAAAATACTTAGTTCGTTATAGCATGGTGAGCTTCAATTATATGTATTTTCTTTAAACTTAATTGGCATCCACAACTTAGAGATAATTTTTAATAAAGTTTAAAAATTATATTAATAATTTATAATAATTTAACTCATAAGCCGCAAAATGTGATTTAACTTTAAATAACTTTTGTTTGTTTTACCCCGACCATTAAAGGTGGAACAACACGAGGTAGCCATAGGCACCGGGTTGCTAAATGAATCAATAGCGTTTTATACGACACAAATGAAACCCAATTATACGCGATTGGGTGGTAACGTCAAAATTATAGACAATGCCAACTTTCCCATTACGACTATAGTCGCGGCTATTGTAACTCTAAAACCCGGTGGACTCCGGGAACTCCATTGGCATCCAAACGCCGATGAGTGGACTTATTTTGTTTCGGGTGAATTTTATAATAATTTTTAATTATTTGCATTACTTGAGCATGGTATTTATTATTTTAACTATTATAACAAAAAAAATCATCTTGTTCATAATTTGCAGGCATGGCCCGAGTTGGTATGTTCGAAGCGGGTAATTACCCTGCTAATTCTCGCACTATGGACTTTCAAGAGGGAGACATTGGGTACATCCCGAAAGATAATCCCCATTATGTGGAGAATACGGGAGACTGTGACCTTATATTTCTAGAGGTGTTCCCCTCCCCCACCTTCCAGGACATATCACTGGCCGAGTGGTTAGCCCACACGCCCACCCGATTGGTCAACGAGCACATACATACCGGGGAAGCCTTTATTAATTCAATCTATAATAAAGAGGCGGTAATTAGGCCCTTGTAACATTTTTATAATTTCTCTTGTTACATTGGATGCAAAATTTAAATTCAAATTATGTGAATCTCAATCATTTTTAATTTTGATTCAATCGTAAAAAGCTAAATGAAGCTAGAAATTGCATAGGACATTTAAAAATTTTCTTTATTTTTGAAACTTTATATTTGAATCCACAAATTGAAACTTTATGTAATAATTATAAATAAACTAAAAAATTAATAAAAATTTACAGTTCTCATAACATTGCACCAATATTCTTTTATAATAGCAGTGACAATAATTCAACTTAAATATAAACTTTTGCTTATAGGCAACGTGTTTAATGTAAACTCTATAGTCATGTTCACTGAATGCAGTTTATACACGTTTATTTAGAATTATTGCACTATAATAGACATTAGAAAATTAATTAAAATTAAGCAATTATACAAATTAAATCTTGTTTCGCATCTAAATATAGACATAATTATAAAGTAAATGATAAGAGTATTTTATTTAATATGTATACACTAAATACATGACTGGATTTTTAATTATTCTAATTGATAGATCCTGCTTATTTTATACATATGACTTGTAAACGTAAAATGTACTAAAGTATTAATTGATTAAAAAATAGCGATCAAAATATAAAACCGTAATTGGAAAGGTAGATAAAATTAAATTGAAAGATAATTACCACTTAAGATAAAAACTTTAATATAAATTGAGAGTATATTCACTACGAAACACTCATAACAAAGATATTTGTCACAAAAAATGTCTTTAAAAATTGTAACAATATTAGCACTGATAGGGTTGGGCGCTGTGCACCTGTCGCCTAACCCACCCATTCATAAAGGCTGTGACCTCCCGAAAGAGGTCAGGGAGGATACGAACGTAGGAGACCAGACAAACTGCCTTAAGGACGGCTACTGTTGGAAGCCTGAGCCGGGTTCACCCAACTGCTACCGGCCCCATAATGATACCTCGGTCAAGGTGTACGTCCATATGATGCCCTGGTTCGAGACCAAGGAGACTAACCCGGATAAGGGAAAGTGGG